GCTATGGTGTCAGGGAGAAACTTAGCGATGATGGTACTTGAATTTTTGTGCTTTATTTAGAAGTTTGACTCATCTTGTAGAATCCTTTACTAAGATGTTGAAATGCTTTCTTGCAGACTTTCTGGATTTGACCTTGGAAGATGTTGGAAAACGTATTGAATTGATCTATCTTCCAGTTCGCAAAGATGGTGCAAGGGGAAGTCCTAAGACCATAAAATCTGATGTTATTGTACCTGGTGAGGTCTTCAAAACATTCATTACTAAATGAAAACTTCCTCTTGTGACCGCCATCCATGTCTTGTAGTTTCTGGAGTTTGAAAATATTCTTTGCCAAATGGAAACTTCCACTTTTAAGTGCTCATATCGCCACTGGTTATCCTGGAATGATATTGAACTGTCTATCTCTTCCAGTTTGTTTTGCAAAAGTACCAGGCCTTACAATTATTATTCTGGTCTTGTTTGTGCCTTCTAACAGCTGATCCAGTTGGACTGGAGCTTAAGATTCCAGATTGTTGCGAAGAAGTGGAGGTGATTCCACATACACAGTACTTTGGTGGACAAGAAGGTCCAGGAGAGTATGTCTGGTACAGAACTGAGGATAAGCTTCACGGATCGGAACTAATGGACATACGCCATGCATCTGAAGATGTAGTTATTTGTGGAAAAACCTTGTAAGTTGTAACATGGGCCAGTTATGACAATTTGCCAAATTATATTTCGTTCCCCGTGTTAGCTGGAATTAAAATGAAAGCAATGTTTCTTACTAACAAGTTGGTCTTGAACTGTACTACTTCTCAGGGCATACACTCCCTCACTTGAAGATGTCGGGTCTTATTTGGCCTTATACTGGGTGCCCACTCGTGCCGATGGCAAAGGAGGAAAGCCATTGGTTGCTATTACCAGCTATCCTGTTAACCCAGGTAACTGAGGTGTTCCTAATGTCACTTTTGCTTTTGTACATCCCGACTAGTCATGGACACCTAAGTAGTAGACAGATTTGCTTGTACACCCTAGTTGGCTGTTCAGTTGTGCTATGAACTTGTGTTGCCAGTATGGGGCTATTTCCTGCAATCGTATTGAACTTAAAAGTTTGCCGAACCTTCATCTAGATGGTCTGATCAAGACACCTCCAACCTTTTTCTCTCTCTTTAAGGCAGAGACCTTTAGGTTGGTCTCTTACCAAGAACTTAGCTCTTTGCTTTCTTTATCAGGTTCGCCAACAGTTTCTAATGTCCATGTCAAGGAGTTATCGGCGGGTGTCTATTGTGGAGAAGGGATATACTTTGGTGGGTATGAGGGATCCAGCAGGTTTAGCTGGTACAGAGAAACCGACGAGGGAAATATGATTCTCATTGATGGAGCTAACTCTGTAACTTATGAAGTCACTGAATCTGACTACACTTGCCGCTTGTTGTTTGGGTAACTGATATGAATTCTTTTTAATTTTATAATTATATATAGCTGCCCATCGCATATGTCTCACTAAAATATCTGCATGCAGAAAGTTACTTTATCTGTCTTGAAGTGTTTCTGTACTTCACATTTCCTTCCTCTGAGCTTAGACATTTGAGACTCCTGACCGTTTTCTTGTATTCGCTTGCATGAATGTTAAAACTCTGGTACTGTAGTAGTAACATCAAATAAATGGTTGAGATTCTCCTTACAGATACACACCAGTTCGCTCAGATTCAGCTGTTGGAGATCTTGTACTGTCTGCCCGAACTGACATTATTCTCCCTGGTAAGTAATGGTTGTGGGAAGTATGCTGGAATTTTCTGGTAATTTATTCACTGGTGTTTGTGCAGCCTTAAATTTGTTCTTCCTAATCCGGTTTGTCAATTGTTTTGCTAAATGCTGGTACACCATTTGTGTTATTATCCCAGTTCTAAATAAAGTAGCCTCATGCTCTATTATTTAACCTCAGAACTTCCAAGAGTGGAAATGCTTGCTCTCACTGGAAAGGCAATAGAAGGAGATGTACTTACTGCTGTTGAAGTCATTCCAGAGAGTTTAACTCAACAATGTGTTTGGAGCAAATACAAAAAGGGAGTCAAATATCAATGGTGAGCATTACAGTCTCTGAGTAGTAGTTGTGACTTCTATCAGACATCAAAGAACACCCTGTTTCTTCACTCTTTCAAAATACTAGTCTGATGTGAAAGTGAAATGCTGGGTGTGACTATGCTTGAGCTGTGTTAATCATTAATTTATGATATAGCTATATGGAGTGAACTTTTGAAAATAAGATACTGCGGTCTGCAGGGATATAGTAGGACAACTATCATAAACTGCATATAATCACAATTTAATTATGAGGGTTACTTTGACTCTCACCTGGCCTGTTTAATTCTTCTTGTGTGTTGGTCCTGGTCGGTTTTCTGCTTCATAATTTAAACACATACCTGCTGCAGGTTCTGTTCATCTGTGTCAGGGGAGAGCAACTGTTTTGAGCCATTGACTACACAGGTTTCGTGCTCTTACAAGGTGCGGTTTGAGGACATTGGTCGGTGCTTGAGATGTGAATGCATTGTGACTGATGTCTTTGGAAGGTCAAGTGAGCCAGCATATGCCGAGACCACTGCTGTATTGCCAGGTTCAGCCTTCCAGCAACTCTTTTCATTGACTATCCTTTTCTGTAATGATTTGATTTGACGTAGGCATCAGATTGGAAAATGCGTTTACTGTTCTCTCTTCTTCTGAGTTTATAGTGCATCAAGCATCTTTGATGGGTAGAATTAGTCTTGGTGCTGTTCTAGAATTCTGGATTAAAAACTTTTTTTACTGGCAATGTCTAATTTATTTTGTTGTACTCCTACTTATAAGTCTAGCTTTATTTTATTCTATCAGGAAATATTTCCTGTCCTAACTAAAAGTTTTGTTATCCATGTTTAGGCATTCCTAGAATACACAAGCTAGAGATTGAGGGAAGGGGCTTCCACACAAACCTATATGCCGTGCGAGGCCTTTATACTGGGGGAAAGGAAGGGAAAAGTAGAATCCAATGGCTTAGATCTATGGTTGGGAGTCCGGATCTTATCTCCATACAAGGTATGCAAATATAACTCGATGTTTGCCTTTGTCTATCAATATTTTGTGTGCCAGAAAGCAGCTTCTATACCTTCGTACCTGTTTATTTAGCACTGTTAGCACTTATATATTGTCTTTTCTTACCTCTACACTTCTGCATGCGATTTATTTACCAGCATAGGAGTCAGTTTTGGAATTGAAAGAACTGGTTCTGAGACAGAAGCTTATTTATCCTATCCGTATCACTTGGTTGGTACTATTTAGCTGTGAAATTCGTCTTAATATACTTACCGAAAGGGAAAAAGATTGAGTGAATCTGCTAATCAAAATTGCATATGGATGTCTGATGAAATGGCAAGTTATGGCTCCATGTCTTCGAGATATCTACTTCAACATTATGATCTGTCAGATTTCCTTTGGCTTCCTAAATGGTTGATTGTTTTATACATTGCAGGAGAGGTTGGTAGGATGTATGAAGCTAATGTTGATGATGTGGGGTATAGGCTAGTTGCTATCTATACACCAGTGAGGGAAGATGGCGTCGAGGGGCCACCTGTATCTGCATCAACAGAGCGAATTGCTGTTGGTAAGTTTGTGGATTTATGCTCATAGATCCTTCTATATCTTTCACTCTCCAGGTGTCATTTGGACCATTAACCTCTAATAGCATATGCTAGTTAATCCTGCTGCGACTGTTGAATATCCTTGCTAACTATTATGACCTTTTTAATTTCGCAGAGCCTGATGTTTTAATAGAAGTGAAACAGAAACTCGAACTTGGATCTGTGAAGTTTGAGGTCTGTAGTCTTTACTTCCCCTTTTCCGATAATCTCATGAGACTGTAGGTGTAGGATGTGCAAACTGATTAAGGAAGTCTTTGTTAACAGGTATTATGTGACAAGGACCGTTCTTCAAAAAAGGTTGGTTTTGCTATTTTATGTTGAAAGATTTTCTAAGCATGTAAGTATGTCTTGAAATCACTTAACTTTCGGTTTTGTATTCTGCAGTTCCCAGGGGAAACCAGTCTGGAGAGAAGAGTACTGGAGATCAACAGAAAGAGAGTGAAGGTTGTGAAGCCAGGTTCCAAGACTTCATTCCCAGCTACTGAAATTCGTGGCACTTATGCTCCTCCTTTTCATGTAAGTTTCTCACTCGCACCATTGCAAAAAAGTTTTCCCGTACCAGAAACAAAGAAAAACTGAATTATTGATTGACACTCTAATGCGCCAGGTTGAGCTCTTTCGCAATGACCAGCACCGTCTTAAAATTGTAGTGGATAGCGACAATGAAGTTGACTTGATGGTGCATTCCCGGCACTTGAGGGACATCGTTGTTCTTGTCATCCGAGGCTTTGCTCAGAGATTCAATAGTACATCTCTGAATTCTCTGCTTAAAATCGAGACATGACACTTGGGGTTTTAAAAAGTGACATTGTAAAGTGAAAAAGCACACGAAAAAAGCCGCAGAGATAGCAGTCTCTAGTTTTATGATTTGCTTCTCTTCTTGTTTACCATTTTCCTTCTGCAGCAAAACATGTTTGACAAATTTGTGAGTGCAGTTGTGATTTTTTATTGCTTTGTGATGATGTGAGGCTCTGGAAACACCTTTGGCCCATAATTTGCCATCAGTGTATATATGTACAAGAATTGTTCAAGAGATATGGAAGTTGTTTGAGGAGCTTCGCCTGTAGTCATTTTTTTCTTCTTCATTGTCAGACCCAAGTTGAAGAGGTGTGTAATGATTTGGTCTTTTTTTTTTTTGGTAAGGATAATGGTTTGGTCCATTTCTAACTGAATGATGCATAATTGACATTTGGATTGAACTGGATCCGGATTGAACCTAGTTCATTCATTCTTGATTTCATGGGTTCTCTAAAAAACAAAGCAGAAAGTAGCCTGGATCGCATCTGATCAGATCGAATTGGGTCAAATGTTGTTTAGATTCAACTATAATATGCATTTTCCCTTTTGCTATGGTCATGCTAATTTCTATTAGCTACCCTAGCTCTATCTTATGCAGCAAAGCTTCAGTCAAGAATTGTGTCCGTCGGCTGTTGTTGCTGCCCTTCTTCAATCCTAACAGTAGCGTTGGTTTCTCTCTCAATATCTTTTGCTGCATCATAGGAAGCATGGAGTGCAACAAAGATATAGTATACAAGCAACACAGCTGACCAGATCGCAAACCTAGCGAAAGATGCAGCGTCGATAGAGCCCATCACGAACACATTCATGGCTATACTAGCAGAGGGCAGCCATGGCAGGAATGGCACCCCCCAAAACTTAGGCTTCCTAGCTTGCTTCACAAACACCTGCATCCCCAGCGTCGCTAAAAACCAAATCGAAGCAGCGATCACATACCCAATCCATCCACCTCTACCAATCGCCCAGTAAGCACTCGCTCCACACGAGGATCCCACAATCACCACCAGGAACAAAACCATCTTCCTCTTATCTGAATCTGTCGTCTCCCCAGCAACGTAGTATCTCCTAACTAGCAGTCCCAGAGCCACAAGCGAGAAGATGAACAGAGTGGCAATGGAAAGCAGAGAAGACAGAACATCCAAGCTAGTGAAGCAAGCTACTACAGAATTAGCGACGGTCATCACAACCGTCGCTACTAATGGCGTTCCCGTCTTCTCATTAATATAGGCCAGAATCGGCGGCGCCATGTGGGTGCGACTGATGTGAGTGAAGTACCGAGACTGCGCGATAATGTTCGCCAGCAGAACCGTCGTCATTCCCTTCAACGCACCAATGGCGACGATATACTTCGCCCAGTCCATCCCCACTGCTTTGAACGCGACGGAGAATGCAGCATCGGTGTTGATTTCGTAGTAAGGTTGCATCATTGTGAGGCATGCCGCGAGGAGGCAATAGACAGTGATCACTACAGTCATCGAGCCGATGAGCCCCAGGGGAATATCCCGACCGGGGTTCTTCACTTCCTCGCCGAGAGTAGCGACGCCATCAAAACCGACGTAAGCGAAGAACAACATTGCCGACGCTTTCATAACGCCGCGAATTCCGAAAGGGGCGAAATTTGAGACGTTCTTGGGATGGGCCTTGGTGAAGCCCGCAGCGAGGATGAAGATCAAAACCACCAGATGGATGATTGTGGTGACGAAATTGAACCTCGACGAGCCTTTCGTGCTCCACGAGGCGGCGACGCAGACGACGAACGAAACAGCGACGGCAATTGGATCCAGATAGTTGTAGTCCGTCGCTAAAGATCCGACGTAGATTCGGAATCCGTTTGGTTCGCCGTTACAGAGCGTCGCGAAGTAAGAAGTCCACGACCTCGCGACGCTAGCTCCGGCGACAATGTACTCGAACAGAATGTTCCCGGCGGCAATGTACGCCACGAAGTCGCCTAATTCGACTCGGAGATAGGCGTAGGAGCCTCCGGCGACCGGCAATTCGACCGCGAATTCGCTGTAGCACAAGACGGATAGCATCGCGCAGACACCGGAGATTAAGTACGAGATGACGACGGCGGGGCCGGCGTCGTCCCTTGCCGCTTCGCCGGTGAGGACGAAAATTCCGGCGCCCATGACGGCGCCCATCCCGAACCAGATCAGGTCCCACCAATTGAGCGTCCTCTTCATCTCGTTTTCGCTTCGAGCTCGAACGCCTTGGAGCTCGAGGCTGTCGAGAGATCTGGAGACGAGCCGGTCTTTGAGCCTCGGGATGGTGTTGGAGAGGGCGTTGAAGTAATTCCCCCAATTTTTGAATGATTCCTCCGGGAGGAAATCGTCCTTGTCGCAAAAACATCGTCGATTTTTAGCTTTAGTAACACTGTCGTCGCCATTGCTCCCGTTGTTGGTCGCGGTTGGTGTGGACATTGGCGGTTTTTGATTATTATTAATCAGAAGGTGTTGTGGTGAGAACTGAGAAGTGCATCTAGATTAAGGAGCTTGTACTGAGAAATTAGGATGGCGAAACTAACTAAAGAATGCCGATTAAGGAGGGGATTTAGGAGTGAAAGATCGGATCTCGTACTATGTTTTTTTGCCCATAATAGCAATTTGATTCATCTCAGTTTTGACACTAAAAGTGACGACATACATGCAGATTCTTGCTGAGAGTAGAGACGAAAGTGAGAAGGAAGCTACCACACACTTAGTTCAGCATGGCTAATTTCCTTCGGTTAGTTAGCTGACCAATTTAGAACTATATTATACGCCGGTACATACTACATATAGTGATGCATAATTTCTCATATATTTTTGCGCTATACTTAGTGAAAAGGTTTATCTACATAATTATATTTGATTTGGCTTTCCTGTTACTTAGCAACAAAACATATACATATGCTCCAAACCCAATAGCTATTACCCCCGAACTTCCCAATGCCTTGAAAAAAATTACAGTATTGTGATTGGTACTCATAGTACAATACTTTTTTACCTTCACTCTTTTGATCTATCTGGACACATAGAGGTGACAATTTTGTATCCAATCTAACAATCCAATTCAATGTTTCCAATCTGCCATTCCAATTTTGTATTTAATCTACTAATTCAATCAATTTAAATCCAATTTATTTGATCCAAATTCAATTGGATTGTTAATTCATAGAGCATCGACAAATTACAGTTTAGTACCTATAGTTTTTATATTTTGCAATTTGGTACCTAAAATTTTCTATTATGATATTGTAGTACATAAACCTTTCAAAACTTACATATAGGACCAATGTTTAGATATCACTTGGATCCATGATCTAATCCACCAATCCAGAAATCCATAGATCTACCAATCAAATCTATTTGCCACCTCTACAGACTACAACCATAGCCCATACTAACGGACATCGTTGTGGGAAACACATTAATTGCAGTATTTCATTAATTCGTATTATTGTCGGTTTTTATGATTCGGGGTATTATTTGGGGTATTCGGGAATAAACAGGGAGTTGATTGTTATGTTTGATTAGTTGGGGTAGTAGATAGGGATTAGGGGATTATATATTCTGTACTGGAGGCATTATTTCCATTAAGCAAGAGTTAATAAAATTCCTAAACCTAAAATCCTTCTTCTTTTCCCTCTCTAGCGCCGAACCCTCTTCCCCTCTTCTTCCAAATTGGCGGCAGCAGCAGCCAACTTCTTCCCCCATATTTCTCAAAATTCCCAACTTTCCAATCCCTAATAGATCAATCCCTAATTGATCTAGCTAATTTCCCCAATCCTGATCACGTTAGAAACCTTGTTTCTAACATCTGGTATCAGAGCCTGACTCGAGAGTGAGTTCCTCTGAACTCTTGGACCAGGGAAGACAACGATGGTATCAACAAAATCGATGAAAGCGGCGGAGAAGGCAGCTCAGGCAGCCGAGAGGAACACCGAGGCGGGCGATGTTGGTCTCGACGGGGTGGTGATGGAGGACGTCATTGAGCTGGAGGAGGTGAAACTGGTGGTGCACGAGCACTCTGATGCGCTGGCTCGGCTCGAAGAAGGCCTAGCTAGGGTGCAGGAGGACGCGAAGGCGGATGCTGATGATCTGCGACAGAGGCTGGAGGACCTGATGCGGGCGATTGCCTCGCTGCAGGCAAAGGAGGACAGATCAGGGGGAGCGCCCATTCCGGCTGAGTCGGCGATCGAAGGAGGCGGCGCGACGGGGGCTGCGGAGACGGCGGCGACCGCGGCTGGCGGGGCGGCTGTCGGCGGGACCCCGACGGTGACGGCGCCGGCGGCGCCGGCGGGAGTGGCTCTCGCGAAGGCCGGCAGCGGTGGCTCAGGCCGATGCGTCGATCGCGACGGCCGAAGGAAGTAGGGCGGCGGACACCAGGCCGGGCCGAGTTGATCGAACTGCAGTAGGGTTGGGCTCGGGTCTGTTACCGACGCCTACGGCTCAAGAGATTGCGGCCCGGAAGGGAAAGGCTAAGATGCCCGGGTATGACACAGATGGGCCGCCTATGAGTAATGGGCCGAGACTGTTGGGCCACTACACGAAGGTCCATAACGCGCTGGGATGGTTGGATCTGGAAGAAGGGCCCGAGTATGACAAACTGAGCCTGGCAGATCAGCAGGCCCAGTGGAATGAATCGGAGGTGGACTTGAGGGGGCCGGGGGGCCGAGGAGGGCCGGTGACCAGGTGGGGCAGGGAGGGTCGGCTCCTATGGGGCGGACCGCAGCGGACTGGGAAAGAGCGGGTCGAGCCGATACCGGTCGAGCCAGGATCGGGCTGACTGACGCGGATCAGACCGAGTTGAGCCGAACCGGACCGGGTCGGGCCGGAACGGGTCGACCGGAGGTGGGTCAAACCGGACATCGACCGAGCCCTGCTTCTCAGCCGATCAGGAGGGTGGACAGCAGGGGACCAGTAGGCTGGGAGGGACCTTACGAGGCACCGCACGCTCCAGGAGGGTACCCGAACCAACAAGGGAGCTACCCGGGTGATTATGGGCACGGGAACCCAAGCCAGATGCAGTGCGCTCCATTTGGGCAGCCGTGGAGGACCCTAGGAACTGACAGGTATGGGTCCCACTATATGAACTGTGAAGGAATGGATGAAGTAGTTTTTCGAGCTAAGCCTCCTACCATTGAGTTTCCAAAATTCAATGAGCAAGAGGATACAGGCCTTTGGTTGTATGCAGTTGAGAGGTGGTTTAAGAACCACCCCATTCCGGAGGAGAGGAAGGCCTATCTAGCATCGTTCTATTTGGGGGGAGATGCGCTCCAGTGGTGGGAGTGGATGGAGAGATCCTACGCAGGCGCAGCAACTTTGATTACGTGGCCCATGTTTCAGGAGGAGCTCCGTTATCAGTTTGGGAAGTCAGATGGGTGGGCTCCTGAGCAGTTGGCGAAGCTGAAGTAGACCGGCACGGTGGCTGAATACCGTGCGGGGTTCTTCAAGTTGGGGAACCAGTGCAAAGGTGTCTCGGAGGACACCTTGGTGGGGCTGTGCATGGCGGGTCTCAAGCCCGAGATCGCAGCGGCAGTCAGAGTGTTCGAGCCCGATTCTGTGAAAACTGCTTTTCGTCTTGCAGGTCATAAGGAGGAAGAACTGGCTAGCTGGAGGAGCACCATCGGCCGTTTCTCAAAAGGGGCGGCACAGGAGGAGGAGGAGGAGGGAGCAGTGGGAACAGTGGCGGCACAGGAGGGGCGCCAGGGGGAGGCCCGATGGGGGTTAACATGGGCAGCGGAGGCCTTGCTCCGGTGGCTACGGTGGGATCACGAGCCATACCAAAAGGGTTCGTGCGACTGTCGCCGGCTGAGATTGAGCAGAAGCGGCGAGAGGGCAAATGCTTCAATTGCGATGGACGTTTCACCGTCGGGCATCAGTGTCCGAAGCCGGACTTGATGATGTTAGTCGGGCGCTGGGAAGATGAGGCCGAGGATGTCGGAAATGGCGAGGAAGAGACCTAGGGAGCTGGTGGAACAACCTTGGGGACAAGGTTGTTTTCGAAGGAAGCGGGGATGTGGGAAACACATTAATTGCAGTATTTCATTAATTCGTATTATTATCGGTTTTTATGATTCGGGGTATTATTTGGGGTATTCGGGAATAAACAGGGAGTTGATTGTTATGTTTGATTAGTTGGGGTAGTAGATAGGGATTAGGGGATTATATATTCTGTACTGGAGGCATTATTTCCATTAAGCAAGAGTTAATAAAATTCCTAAACCTAAAACCCTTCTTCTTTTCCCTCTCTAGTGCCGAACCCTCTTCCCCTCTTCTTCCAAATTGGCGGCAGCAGCAGCCAACTTCTTCCCCCCATATTTCTCAAAATTCCCAACTTTCCAATCCCTAATAGATCAATCCCTAATTGATCTAGCTAATTTCCCCAATCCCGATCACGTTAGAAACCTTGTTTCTAACAATCGTCAACATTCCCTTCCTCAACCCGCTTCTTCTCCTCCTCCTCCGACTCCTTTGCCACATCGTAAGTCGCATGAATCCCAAAAAAGAAGTAATACACCAACAACAACACCGTCCACATCCCACAAAAAGAAGTAATACACCAACAACAACATCGTAAGTCGCATGCATCCAAAAAAAGAAATAACAAAAGAAATATAGATGCAAACTGAATTTGTACCATAATATTAAAAGATATAAGTTCAGTTTGTACTACCATAAACGAATTGTTTAAAAGGTATAGACCGTTAAATATACAAGTCCAATTTGTATAATAACATTTTCTTTTAACCAAAGCAGTAAAGAATTGTAAAACATGACTTCTTTTTTATCTAGCTAGTAATAGATTTTGGTTTAATCTTTGTAAGCATGCTAACCTGCCACGGGGATTTCGACAGCGAACTCGGTGTAGCAGAAGACGGAGAGCATGGCGGAGACCACGTAGGAAAGCAGCACCGCGGGGCCAGAGTGGTCGCGAGCTTCAAGGCCGGTAAGGACGAAGATGCCGGCGCCGACGACGGAGCCGATACCGAACCACATAAGGATCCCACCAGTTAAGAGTCTTCTTCATCTCGTGCTCGCTCCGGGCCTTCACCTCGTGGAGCTCCGTCGAGTCCATGGACCGGGCCAGGACCCGGTTCACGAACCGCTTCGGCGTCTCCCGGAGGGCCCGACTGTAGTTGGCCCAGCTCTGGAACGACTCCTCGGGGAGGAAATCGTCTTTCGTGCACCCTCTCTTCCTTACGATCGCCCGGCCTCCTGCTTCCAGTTCGTTGACTCTGCCGCCATTAATGCTGACCGACATCCAAGGACAGAGTTGGCGAATTAGCGGTTGGATTAAATAACAAATCAATGATTGAACCTAAAAAGATTCTTTTTAGGTTCAATCATTGATTACCGGGATTTTTCCAATAATAGCACCTTTAAAAAAAAAATTACAAAAATAGCACCTATGTAAAAGAAATTCCACTAATAGCACCTTATTTTTTGGAACGCACCCCTAAGATGCGTTTTAAATGTAAACCGCACCTTACAGATGCGATCTACACGTAAAACGCATCAGAGGGGTGCAATCCACAATATAAAACGCACCAGACTGATGCGATTTGGGGAGGACGCGTTGCGATCCACCAGATCATCCGATTGACAGCCGATCCAACGGCTAAGCGCACGCCAGCGGAGCGATCCGCGCCTTGGATCCCAGATCGCACGCGGGTAATGCGATCCGCGCCGGTGTCAGTCAAAGCGCATTGGGAGAATGCGATCTGCGCCTGGGGAAGCGGAAAACGCATTGGGAGAATGCGATCCGCCCGGGGCAAAATTCCTAACTCGCCCCTGGAGCTTGCGATCTGAAAACTATATATAGCCCCCCTCCCCCTCTCATTTTTCTTCACACCTTCAACCTATTCTTCCTTCTCTCTCTAAGTTTTATCTCTCTAAACCCTCCCCCTCCCAAAAGCCTAGGAAATAGTGGTCTATTGGTTGCGGCAAAGTCCGATCTGCCATTAGAAAACATTTCTTAGGTTTTTTCCTCAAAACCCGCCGAGCCGAGCCGAAGCTCTGTCCGAATTGCGCCGAAAAAATGGCCGATTGGTGGCAAGGAGAAGGAGTTTTTGTTGATGAATTTCAAGCGGTACGTACTCATTATTCGGGTTTAATTTTTGTCTTGCTTTTTAATTAATCTATTTACTAACCTCGTTGTTATTTTCTCGTAGGCTGCGGAGGACGTCGATATTTACAACCAACGGTATTATCTCGAGCAAGGACCGTTGGATCCAATTGACTTGTACGACCAACCCAACCATCGGTCAAGGGATGTTTGGAACGCTCATCCGGTACATACAATTCTTTACCATTTGTCCTTCTTTTATTTTGTTTATGTATTTAGTGAAATATAAAATAAATTTATGTTGAATTTTAATCGTGTTGGTTGTTTTCAATAATTTAATCTGATACATTGCGCCACTTACTTCGACTCTTTATAAAGAGATGCACGTCTAAGGAAATGGGGTTTTAAGCGATTATCATATCCTCCCATTTCCTGGGAAAATCGGGTATTAAGAGATCCTCGGATCCCCCCTTTTTCTGTCAACAAGACTGCGTTTCTAAGAAGATGTATACCTCTTCTAAGAGTCTAACGAGTGTTGCTTTGTATTCGATTAAATGATTTAAAACAACCAAAACGATTAAATAATTTACCAAACAATCCTTACGATTTAAAATTTATGTGTACAAATGGAATTTTATTAATTTCAAACAATTGAATATGTATGTTTCTCTTTAAAATATTGATTCATTAACAATGTCATTTAATTTAGTTAATTTAGTATGTTTATTTTACGATAATTAGTATGTATCTCTTTACGATAATTTAATATGTATATATCGTATCTCTTTAAATTATTATTCATTTATAATGCTATTATGTTAATTATATGAAATGTCTAAAGTATGATAATAAAATTCTGCTTGAAGTTAAATAATTTAATTTAAGTAATTTAGTTATAAGGATTAAACCCTTACTAATATATAATAATTAACGTGTAAATTTTCTCTAGGAGGCACAAACAATAATCCGCTACAGGGGTACGACCAATGTGCTCCCATTCCACCCAGCCATCTTGCCCTTTCTCAAAAGGGCACGATTGGACTCGATTAGGCATTTTAACGGCATCAAAGTTGATCGCCAACTCATCACCGCCCTAGTTGAGAGATGGAGAAAGGAGACCCATTGCTTCAACTTGAGAGAAGGAGAGGCCACCATCACACTAAAGGATGTCGCCATCCTAACCCATCTCCCCATCGACGGCAAACCCGTGTGCGTTAGTGATCATGCCCCCGACGATGTCGACGGTATGCCCGGTTGGGTTCATTTCATCTATAGTGTTTTGGGAGTAAAAGTACCGGTGAAGGGGCATGTTGATGCGACCGATCGCTTGCCACCAATGAGGAAACACCAAGTGTCAATTACTTGGTTGACGAGGTACTTTAGAGAGCATTACGAGAGTCATCCCCTAACCGAGGAAAGTCCGGAGGATCGAGAGATATGCTCGGGTCTATCTCATTGGCATGATCGGAGGAGTGTTCTTCTCCAAAAAGCAAGCAATCTCCTTAGTTGTGGATGGCTTAGGATCATCCTCCATCTGATCCAGCTCATGAAAGGCACCTTCATCAGCTCCATAATGGTAGTTGTGAAAACTACCGCTGCCAGAGAGGAAGTTGTACTGAGGTTGGTTGGGCCGGTCCGGTTGAACTTCTTCTTCATATGATTGATGATGACCTTCACCTTGCTCTTGGTACTGAAAATATGAATGAGGATCATGGTAACTTTGGTAGGGATGATCGCCATATAATTCACCTCCACCATGGGTACCAGATGTTTGACCGTGTCCAGAATGACCTCCAACGCCTACGACCGGCTCGGTGTAAACGAACATCTCGGCTTTGGAAAGATTGTTGGACCTCATGAATTCGAGCATGGCGTCTACCTCATCCTGAGTGGTTATGAGATATTCCTCATGCCACAATGACCCACTTTCTCTGTTTGGATATCGGTACACCATACGATCAACTTTTCTCGTGCCATCCATGCAAGTAACGTTAGTGCACATTTGATGGAGGTCTTTGAGCAGCGGTCTGGTAGCGACCTTTATCTTCTGAAAATTGCCACCTACGTAGGTGGCACCCTTTCCGGTCTCTTCCGTGTAACCATTCCACCGTAAGCCAAGCGTGAACTTTTGGAATGCCATCTGCGATAAAACCGTAGTTAAGTTAATATCATAAAAATCAAAAATAAAAATTAACAATACAAAGTAATACTAAATCAACTTACGAGTTAACGTTAATCACAAAACTACTAAAGAAATATGTAATACTAAATCAACTTACGAGTTAACGTTAATCGCAAAACTACTGAAGAAATATAGAGCTACATCAACTTGCGAGTTAACGTTAATCGCAAAACTACTAAAGAAATATGTAATACTAAATCAACTTACGAGTTAACGTTAATCGCAAAACTACTAAAGAAATATAGAGCTACAACAGAAAATTTAACAGGGAAGTGAGAAGGAGAGGTGTGAAGAGAAATGGTTGTCCGGGAGGCCTTTTATAGGCAAAATCTTGATGAAAACCGCACCTTAGCGATGCGATTTTCGTCTGCCATGCAGGCCCATACACACCCACGTCTGTAACTTCTGCATGCATGTCGGAAATTAATTGACCAAAACCGCACCTTTAAGGTGCGGTTTGCATGTTAAAATCGCATCCTCATGGTGCGATTTTGTCTGCCAGAAACAGATCGCACCCCAGGCATGCGATTTTAGTAGGTCAGACTTAAATCGCATTTTGGCCATGCGATTTTACTAGGTCAGAACAAAAATCGCTTGGCTAAGGTGCGATTTGATTCCAGATTTTTGGAACGCACTTTTAGGGTGCGATCTACTTATAAAACGCACTTGTAGGGTGCGATTTATATGTAAAACGCATCTACAAGGTGCGTTCTATTAAAAAGGGTGCTATTAGTGGAATTTTTTTTACATGGGTGCTATTTTTGTAATTTTTTTTTTAAAAGGTGCTATTTCTGGAAAAATCCCTTGATTACCAGGGCCGGCCCACAATATTCCAAGGCCCTGTTCGAAAATAAAAAAATGTGGCCTCAAATTTTCCCCCAAAAATGTTCTCTGTTTTTTTTCGCTTACAATTACCTAATTCAAATTTTTTAGTTTACCTAATTCAAATTTGATAGAATAAAATATACCCAAATGTCCAAACCAATACTGCTGCGAGCGGCTCTCTTTGCTTGGTTGGCTGCGTATTTAACTCAAAAACGTAATGGAGGGAAATATATTAGGGATGAGCATTGACTATTGATTATTTGATTGGTGGAGAGACGTTGGATTTTATGTTGGAAGGTTGAGAAACGTGGGAAACGTATTATCATTTTTATTTTTGACAATGAGGGAAAATATTGTCATTAATGAGTGTTTTTTTTTTTTTTTGAATAGTTCTGCTAGTTGGCGGTAATGGGCTTTGGGATATATTTTTCAGCTTTCAAGGATGGACAATAATGGGCTTGGGGAAGAGTCAACCCAAACAAAAACATTAATATAGGCCTAATGGGCAAGCAGGGAAGGAGGCAGCGAATAGGCCTAACTATGAGGCCCCAGATTTTAGAGGCCCTGTGCTGTGGGTCTGACCAGCACAGGGCCTGGGCCGGGCCTGTTGATTACACAAATATAGAAAAAGTTTATAAGTTCAGTATTAACGGGGTCAAATTTTTTATCCGTGACATATTAGTCGATTTTGGTAGTCGCTATCAGTTGGGAAGCAGTATTTGAAACTATCTATGTCCTCTATTTATAATAATAAATATATATATATATATATATATATATATATATATATATATAATATTTAATACGGTGACTACTTCGGTGCACTCACAAAAATGAGTGCGTTCAATACACCCTACTAAAAACTAGTCTCAAGGTGTCGGATTTTGAATTTTAATTTGTAGAATTAGTGTAATATGATGATATAACATATCATAACAACTAATTAGCAAATTATCCTAAGCCCTAGACCTCCAATTTTGAGTTCCATCTCTAAACCCCAAAGTGTAAACCCTAACCCTAAATCTCTAAACTCTAAATCCTTCAAATTAAAGTAAATCTTCAATGGTTTTTGTGCAAATTCATGTGTGTTATTGTTCATCATATCATAAGTGATCATTGACATCATTTTGACATAAATCGCATGTTTCAAATGACGGCTATGAAACGAATGCACTGAATGCACCCAAAAAAGTGAGTGCACCGAAAACGCCACCTATTTAATACATATAATTAAAACTAATAATACCTAAATAATTCATTCATAAAGAAACAAAAAAACTTACTAATACAATTATTGATTGCATAAATAACCACAACGAGTTTTCATATTATGAAAAAATGCAAAATACATTCATTATTTACACTCTGAAGTGAGTCACTAGCTTACAATGTATCACATTAAACTATCATTAACAAATTCATTGCCAATTCGACCTCGAAGCTTATTCTTAATATAACTCCATCTAAAGTATGCATTTTTGTCTCCACCATTATTCGAGATAATTCATCAATTCTTTTCAACCCAACAAATCTGTTATCAGTCATACACTCATAATATCGTGATAATACCTAACAAGTTGTTGTCGAATAATAGTGTCATGAATGAAACCAATAATTTAATTATTTTTTGTGAATTAATGAACAAGTAATAAGTTATGGTGTAGTGTCAAAACATCCTTATGTTACTTGTAGGTGTTGAATTCGATTCGTACAAATATATGTGGGTTATTTTTTCCTCTCCCCAAAAGTTACCCTTGTCCTGAGACAGGGGCCAACACCTCTGGCTCCGGGCACATGATTAAGTTGAATATTGAATTTTTAATATTATTTGAATAACGATATACAGTTAGCATAGTATATTATTTAATTTTTTAATCTCAAGTATATTATTAGTTAAATCACAATTTTAATAGGAAATGTTATTAAGCTACTTAGTTGGACTCAATCTCCCAACCAAGCATACATAAGGTGCTAAAATATGTGACATTTGAAAATGAGACTGTCTTCATTATTAAAGTTAATGACACAAATATTGTGTTTTTTTTAATTTGCCACAAATATTGCGGATTAAAAAGAATTGACACAAATATTGTGTTTTGTAGTAAAGTTTGGGGCGGGACCACCAGAGACTAAGGCGGGGCCGCAGTTTCTAAATATTTTACCCAATTCTGGGAGCTGGCGCCCAAGTCTCCAGCGCCCCTGCCTCACCCTCTTTTTTTAAATCGACGAACCCTAGGGCCCCTCTTATCTCTTCTTCTTCTTCCCTCCACCCCCCCCCCCCCCCCCCCCCCCCCCCCCCGAACTAGAGCAGCGCCTTCCTCACACACCCCACCACCGTAGTCTCAGGCCCTGCTGCCGTGGACTCAAGCGTTGCCGCCCAGGACCAAGGCACCGACGCCGCAGAGACAAGCGCCGCCGCTGCCGAGTGAAGAGTCGCCGCCGCTGACAGAAGCGCCCCCGCCCGACAGAGATGTCCTCCGACGAAGAACCAGTCGCCGGCAGAGACAGGTGGAGTCGGCAGCCGTTTACGCGGTGAGACTCACGCCGGCGGCGGCCGGAATCTCGCCGGCGGCTTGGATTTTTTTTTAATGTTTAGTATTTTTTTTAATTAATGTTTTGTTGCTTTGTTTTTGCAGTTCCTAGGCTTATGGATCCTTATTCGATGAGATTACCGCCGACGACAATTGATCCAGGTCCGGTCGATCCGACCCTTCTTTGGGGACATGGCCAACATCGTATCGACTCTGTTTGGATAAACGAGGTAAGTATTTGATAATTATTCATGTAAAGTTAATTAGCTAATTAGATTATTTTAGTTGGTGAACTGAACTGTACTAAAATTAAAATAGGATTACGTATCAAACTTTTTGAAATTAGTATAATTTGATATTATATTAGATAGATTAGAATTTATTAGGTGAAATTAGAATTATTACGAATGAAAATGAATTAATATAAGTTTTGTGCACTATAGGCTGGTGATCGATCTTACCATGTTCGAAGTACGACCAGTTTAGTGACGTACCATGAGCTTTATCGGCCATATCTCGAAGCGGCAGGCTTATTAAGTGTCGTGCCCCTAGTCCCTATGAACCCCGATGCGAGTTTGATTACTGCGCTCGTAGAGCGGTGGCGACCCGAGACGTCGACCTTCCATATACCGTTTGGTGAGATCACAATCACGTTAGAGGACGTTGTTACACTGTCCGGTCTGGCGATCGACGGTGATGCCGTCGTAGTTGATATACCGGATGAGGAGTGGTCGGCGATCTGTTTGAGACTGTTAGGACGGTTTCCAGCTGATCTTTCAGGCGGTGTCGGTGTCGTTAGGAATGTTTGGCTGAGGGATGAATTCAGTCATCTACCGGTAAATGCATCACAGGAGGTTATAGAGCAGTTTGCACGAGCTTATGCTCTACCTCTGATGGGAGGTGTACTTTTCCCAGATCGGTCTGGAGCTACGGTGCACCTACAGTACCTACTTCTCATTGAGGATTGGCAGAGAGCTGGACAGTTCGCCTGGGGAGCTGCTGTTTTATCCTACCTATACCGTGAGATGGGTAGGTCGACTTTGCAAATTACGCATTCCGACACTTCTCTAGGCGGTGACCTTGGTGGATGGGTCGCCCTACTGCAGTTCTGGGCGTGGGAGCGATTCCCACATCTGGCACCTCGACATTCAGAGACGAGGGCACAAATTTCCGAGGATGCATCCCCACGTGGTCTTTGATGGCTTTCGGCCAACAATCGTCAGTATGGTGACTAGCTATTCCAGCACAAGCTGTGGTTTGACGCGATGGACACCGTGGTGGTTAGTATATAACATTCCATTTTATAGAATAGTTTTCATTTGTTTTATTTTTTTAGATTTATGGATAATAACTTTAATTTTTTTTTATGTAGTGGCAACCTTACCTTGAGAGAGCACTTCATCTCAGAGGTAGTGTGATACAGTCTGAGACATTTCGAGCAGTAGTGCCACTTATCTGCTTTTCGTCGGTGATGTGGCATCATCCAGACCACGTGCTCCGGCAGTTTGGCATGAGGCAGCATGAGCCTCATCCGCCACATCCTGAGGCTGAGGTTAGGTTTTTTCTTCATCAGGCTACTCGTGGGCCATCGCGTGGGCAGCAGTTGGTACACGCCTCCAGAGAGTCGCTTGCTTTCTGGAACCGTCGACACGAGATTGTAGCGACGGCTCCATACACTGATGAGGAGTTAGCATACCACTCGGAGCATATGGAGTGGTATAGAGATGTCACCAGACGTTCCGGCACACGGAGAGGAGCTACAGCGGAGGCATTGGTTAGTTATTTGATTTATTTGCTTAATTTGTTGTTAACTGCGTGAAATATCTGACATTTTTTTGTGTTTTTTAGTACGACACTTTCGAGCATGCTAAGGTGAGTTTGCATAACGGTGTACGGGCTGGAGGGCTGACCCCCAACCAGTGTGAAGACTTGGCCAACATTATGGCATCCGGGGTTGCTACTCTAGGTTTTGAGCAGCGTAGATACCCTGATCTCACAGTACCTGTACAACCCCATTATGATCAGCCCGTCATGACTGCCTGGCCAGAGCGTACTGATCCGACACCGGGCTGGGTCGTCCCAGAGCCACAGTTCAGACAGGAGCATAGGCCACGAAGACAACGACGTGAGCATCGTGATGTACCTAACCCATTGTGGATTTCAGATCGACAGCGAGCACAGCCCGTCCGGCCTACCTCGAGGAGCTTCCAGTTTAATACGCCTCGGTCGCAGTTTTAGTCAGATCCTTCCTCGAGCTTTCAGCCGCCGCGACGACAGCAGTTTCAGTCAGATCCGTCTTCGAGCTTCTATCAGCCAGAGGATAGCTTCCATACACCGCAACATGCTACGATGGGAAACATGGCCTCAGGTGGTGATACTAGAGCAGCCTTGTCTCCCGACCTGTGGGACAGCCTAGAGGGTGATGAGACGTTTCAGGAGACGATGTGGAATTATGAGCAGTATCTTCAGTCTCAGCAGCATGGTGGCGGTGTACCTGAGGAGCAGATTCAGTCTCAGCAGGATTATACGTTCGGTACACAGGATCATGATGGTGGTGTCGAGGGAGATCAGCCCCATGAGTATGATGGTAGACCTCCACGTAACAGGGTGCCTGCGAGGTGTGGTACTGGCGGCCATCTAGTGGTGGAGCATGGTGGTTGTCGTGGCGGTCGTCAGTGAGACTATTATTTTCGGATTGTTATTATTATGTACTTCCTTGAGACTATTATTTTTGGATTGTTATTATTATTATTTACGATAAAAACCATAACAACTACATACCAAACAACAACAACTTCTACATGGTAAATCAAAAGAAATACAACAACTTCTACCACCTCTACTTCCTCTTCTACCACCTCTCGCACTTCGTTGGCCACCACTCCCTCCTAGGTTGCTCCCACTCCCACTAGCTTGGCCACCGCAGGTTGATGCATTATGTCCCGCTTGGTTACAGTTGCTACACACTTGGTGTGATGCACCCTCCCTTGGCCAGTCCATCTCGTTGTGAATCCTTGTAACTCGTGGCCTCCCCGGCTTCCTAATCATGTGCACATTAGGATGGAGAATAGGACCATTATGCTTCTTCCAACCCTTAGGTTCACCAAGAGGTGCGAAACTTGTCCCATAACAAGCCATCACTGTTTCCAGCTTGTAGACATCATTGACAAACCTATACGCATTA